TATATATATAGGCCCAAATGTAAACCAATCCTTGTCACAAATTTTCAGATGGGTCCAGCCGTAGAACGTCAAGTAAACTGACTTCCTTTATCGCATGTTTGACACTTGTGGAGGGAGTATAGAGAGGAAATGACACTTTGTGGAGAATTTTAAAAAAACTGAGCAGACCCCCAGAAGAAAGGGAGGGGTCAAAATGAAATTTACAAATCTTACATTCAGGACAGTATAGTATAGATCTAATTGTACATTTAATGATACGGTATCAGGAAGTGAGAAAAACAATATCGTGGGGTAAATGGAGTGGCTTATGTTTTAAACGTAGGCTTAAAGGCAATCTGTAGTATGTTGTTAATATTTTTTTTTGGGATCCCATAAGAACTATCTATATTTAATTTTTAGTGACAGTTGTGAAATTGTAGTATTCTTCAGATTGAACGTAGTGAAACTGGACCTGTTTATTGGTAGATTTTGTGTCTAGACTTTCATTTCCCACGTGGGTGGAATATCGGTGCATTCAAACCTCATTAAAAAATCAAGCGCTTGCTCAGCTGTGACACGGCACAGGTTGACACAGTTGGAAAGTTCAGGTAACAAGAGATATCAGGTTTCAATATATGCACATCATGTATATATGAATAATTCCACTCAGCATTAATTAATTTAATTGCCCCTGCTTCACATCCATAAGTTCTTTAATCAGTTAGTATTTTTGCAAAGAACCTGCAGTTTGAGGCTGCGGTGGCTTGGATTCTGCTGTTTTCAAATTTGACAAATTGCTTGAGTTAAAGGGATGTGATATATAGTATACAGTCCCTGATCTTTGGCAGTAGAAAAGTGAAAAGTTAAGGTATAGACTGATGTTTCTTCAAAGTACTGATAATGTGTTTTCGCACTTACCTCGTTTTTTAAAGCTTAGCTACTTCGTTAAGATAAAAATGATCATCCTTTCTTCTAGTAATGAGTCTCATCGTTAATCGTCAGTCTCGTGTTTAGCCTGAGAGACCCTCAACTGTATGGTCTTGGGAAAAAACTTGTCTGTGTGTCCTTGGCAAAGACACGGCACATCTGTGTGTCCTTGGCAAAGACACGGCACATCTGTGTGTCCTTGGCAAAGACACGGCATATCTGTGTGTCCTTGGCAAAGACACTGCACAATTTCCTCCTCTCACCCAGATGGTGATGGGTACTAGGCTTAGATCGTGAAAGACCATGCCAGCATGTTAGTGTTTGAGCGCACATAAAATATCAGCTTGCGTTAAATGCTTCGCAAAAAATAGAAAATTGAATGTCTCAGAATGTTACAAAAAAGTTTACAGGGTCTTTTGAGTTAATAATAAATTATAAAGCAGATGAAATTTCTTTCTTGTTTGGATTTTCTACATATTATTGTGCATTCTTTTAATAAATATATAATAATTATTATAATTGAAATATAGACCTGTTAACCACACAGTGTGCGGCCTTTGAATGACCCATTTGTGTCTTTGAGAGCATTAAATTTGTGCAATAACCAATAAACTTTGTGACTTTACTTTGTCTCCAGGAAGTTGATACTCACTAGGTACAAGAAAGGGTTAATTAAGGAATGCCATTAATAATAGCATACTAGTTTATTAAGACTATTGTCGGTAACTGTGTTTCATTGAAAAGATTGTTGCTGAGGTGTAGTTCTGCAAAAGTCACAAATGACCGCGGTGAGATTAGGTAGTTAACGTTAGTGAAGAGAAACAGGGCGCAGATGAACTTCCCAATTATTTTTTCTCTGTACAGTCTAACCTTTGGGGAATCTAATTGCTTTAGAAATTAAAGTATGCACCGTCATGACTCATCCCACTTTTTGTTTTGCAGACCTGGAATGGCCACGCAGGAAATTGAAACTGACAGAGAGGTCACGGCAGATTCTACAAAGACAGACGGAAGTCTGGCAATTTCTTGTACGTTGACAACAGACTCAGACGAGAAATGCAGCACCACAGCCCTTCTCACTGAAGTCCGAAATGGGGCGGGGGCCGGAGAGAACAGCAATGAACTGGACAATGTTTTGTCCAGCATCAAAGTGGGTCAGTTCCACTGGCGGATGCTTGCGCTGGTCGGCTGGGGATACTTTGCCGTGTGTTCGGAGATGATGCTCTTCATCTTTCTGAGCTCGCCAGTGAAAGAGGAATGGAACCTGAGGGATATGGACTTTCCGTGGTTACCGTTCAGGTGGGTTCTTTCACTTTTTGTCCGTCAGCAAGTCAGTTTGCCTAAGCCAGAAATTGCTGAGGTGAAAATAGTATGTTAATTTTGACGTCAATGAAAAGGAATAGAAGAGGTGGACAAACTACCCAATTGAAATGAAAGGGCTAAGAAATGCTAGTGAAAGCTTAGTAGTAGTTTGTAACTTCTCTGAACAAACAAAATCACAGTAGAGCATTCATGTCTGAGTGCTGTCATGACAGAGGAGGATTGACCTCCAATGTAAGATTTGCGTTGTATGTCCTCAAAGGAATACCAAATGCTTTATTCTTGTTTGCGTTTCACGAAATATTGTATACGTGTGTTATTGTTTGTTTGTTTTAGTAGAGGTTTTACGGCGCTCGAGGCACCCATGTGTTAGTGTGTGTGTGCGTATCAAGAGATTTTTATGAAATGAAAAAGTGAAGCTTGGAGCATGCCATTCAGCAGTGGTAGAAGTGAAGTGACTTTTTACGTTCCATTGGTATTTTCTCTAAGTGCAATTATATGAATAAAATTGTCTCAGCAGATGGTTGGAAGATGCCACTTGTAGATCCTGTTCTTTTCTTTCCCTTTGTTTTTTTCTGTCTCTCTCACTTTGTCTTTCTTGCATTAAGTGTTCATTGTTGTGTCCATGTGCATCTCTTTACTCAAACATACAAGGCTTTCTAATTTTGTTGTTGTCATATTTCTGTCCTCAGTACTGGCATTGCTGGTATCGTCGGAGGCTTTGTCTTCGGGACGGTCAGTGACCGATATGGCCGACAGCTACCGTTTCTGTTTGGCATCCTGGTCATCGCTATTTTTGGAGTGGTCTCAGCCTTTGCTCCGTCGTTCCCTGTCTTCATTGTGTTCCGCTGTCTGGTCACCATCGGGACAGGAGCCTTCGAGGCTGTGGGATTTGTGCTGCTCTTGGGTACTTTTTGTTTTGAATTCTACATTCTGTTGGGAGGAGGGGGGGTGGGGGGAGAGGGAGAAGGAGAGAGAGAGAGAAAGAGGGGGAGAGGTAGGGGAGGGTGGGAAAGGGTGGGGGGGGGGGGGGGGTGAGAGAAAAGTGATCTTTCTTTTTCAAACTTTTGATCAGAATGAAAAGTTTTTATTCATCTAAGTTTTTTTCCCTTACTGCATTGATGGTGTTACACTCTGACCATGTAACTGATTTCTAGAAAATCGTACAACAGACAAAAAAAATCTTCTGATTTAAATGATAAGAAAAGACACAAAAGTTAAACTCAAAGTACTTTTGTACTATATATAGTGCCTTCTGACTCCTTGTTTTTTTAAAAAGACTCACAGATTGACCTTGCAATGGTATTAGAATTAAAAAAGAACTGGCGTCTTTCCTCCATTTACAAGGTTAGAGCATAACACCACCAATACTATACTTGCCAATAGGGAAATACTGAAGAAAGTGTGGGCCCATTATTCAGTGAAGTCAACTTAAATGGAAGTGATTTTCTTTGGTTTAGGTGAGTTTTCGGTTTACAGAAGTCGTTCAATTAGAAGGTTAAAAAAATAATTTTCTTTTGGTTACTGCTGTTCTAGGATGAACCATATTAGTTTAATCAAGTGGACCCCACTATAATTCATTGCATGTAACTTCCCAGAGTTCCTGCCTCGCCAACAGCGAGGGACGATCCTGGTGGTGGTGACGCTGTGCGGGGCCCTGGGGGCAGTGCTGGCCGGAGGGTTCGCCTGGCTCATTCTCCCGCGCTGGGGCTGGCGCTGGTTCGTTGGCGTCTGTGCGCTGCCCGCGGTGCTGCTGCTGGCCTACCAGCCGTTTGCCTTCTTCGAGAGTCCTCGCTTCCTGGTGAGCCGCGGTCAACGGGACAAAGCGATCGCCGTGCTGCGGAGGATGGCCGAGATCAACAAGTGCGAACTTCCAAGTCTGGGTAAGTGCTGCTTCATCATAATCATCATTATCATCATCATCATCATCATCATCATCTTCATCATCAATATCATCAATATCATCATCATTATCATCATCATTATTTTTATTATCATCATCATCATCTTCATTATCATCATATCATCATCATCATCATCATTGCCTTTCTCATCGTGGATCCGAGCATAGCCAGCGACAAACTCTCCACATTTTCCTGTCGTGGGCTAGCTTCTTGACAATATTCCATGTTTTTCCACTTTTCTGTATATCATTTTCTAGTCCAGCACCTACTCTATAATGATAATATTTTTAATACAAATCAATGGTAAATATTATGCTCTAACCTTGAATTTCAACAGGCAGAAAAACTGTTTCTGTTTTAAATGATGATAGTGGACTCAAAGGTTAGCTGGTATACTTCTGTACCATTTGTGGTGCGTGCATATTCCTGGTTTTTATCCAGGATAGAGTTACTAACTACTGATAAATCCTACTTCTTTCCTATCCTGTCTGTTTGTCTCTGTCTTTTTGCCAGCACTTAATTTAATCTATTGTACCCATGTGGATCTTATTTACTTAAACTCAACATCATAAGTGTATGTCTTGGTGTAAATATGATAAGTTATAAGCTTGACCTAGCTCAGTACTGTTTTATTAAGTTTGTGGAAACAGTAAAAAATGACTCCGACAGTTATATTACGAGGGGTTCAAGAAGTATATGGTCTAAATATGAAGGAATAAAGATAGAGCTTTGTAACTTGACACACATACTTTTATTTCTCCATGCTTAATAATACATTTCTGCCTCCTCTCTTTGACCTTCAAAAGTCCTTGAGAGTAAAATGACCCAGAATGGGCCCCTAACCAGTCTTCAACAGCTTCAATGGTGTCCTCGTTGTGACCGAAACGATGTCTTTTGTGTGATTTTTTTTAGATTAGGAAATAGAAAAAAGTCTGAGGGGGCTAGGTCTGGTGAATAAAGTGGGTGTGGCAGGATTTCAAATCTGTACTGTTCTGCTGTCTGGACTGCTTGTTGTTCCCTCCGCTCAGGGGCGTTGTCATGCAGTAGGAGGGTCCCATTACGGAGTTTTCCGCACCTTTTTCTCACCAATTTGGACCGCAAACAATTTTATCAGCAAACCCAAGTAGTAGTCTCCTGTGACAGTTTTTCCATTTTTTAGGTAGTCAGTCATGATGATACCTTCACAATCCCAGAGACATGACGACATGATCATTCCACTTGACGCTGTTACTTTTGCCTTCCTTGTTGAGGGAGAAAAAGGGGTTTTCCATTGCATGGAAGACATTTTTTGTTCTGAATCAAAATGATAAGTCCATGTTTCATTCATAGTCACCATGTTTTTAAAGAACTTTGTGTCCCTGGACTCTATTCGAAGGAGAGTTTTGCAGGACTCAACCCACTGCTTCTTTTGCTCACTGGTCAAAAGGCGGGGTACCCACTATGCAGACACCTTTTTCATGTTATGATGGTAATGGAGAATCGTTTCAATTAACCCTACACTCATTTTCGTTTCACTTAAAAGCTGTTTAATAGTTATACATTGGTTTTGTAGAACCAGTTTCTTCACTATAGACACATTCTCTTCAGTTACCACAAAGGATGGGCACCCTTCACGATTTTCATTCATCACCGACAGGAATCCCAGATTTGAATTTTTTTACCTAGTATGTCACAGTATTATAACGAGGACGTTTGTCACCATTAACTTGGACCATTTCCTGAAAAACATCAGAAGGGAATTTTCCTTGTAAGTGTAAAAATGTGATAACTGAGCGCTACTCAACAGGCTCCATGGCCATGGCACAGCTTCAGTAAAGAAAAACAAATGTTTTTGTGCACGGTTTCCTTGAACACGCTGACTAGTGGCTTATCATTGTCAGATTTTCATGAAAACTTGCATGGTGTGTTCCTAAGAAATTGTCTTAAGGGTAGCGAAGTTTCATTACTCTACCATGATTCCCACATACTCAGACCAATGACTTATTGAACCCCCCTCGTATGACAGTGATGAAATGTTGAAAAATAGCTTTTAATTTTAACCTGTTTTGCTATGTTTCAGACAAGATTGTGTGCACCCCGCGACAGAAGCGAGGCGGGCACGTGCTGCACCTGTTCTCCAAGGAGCTACGGTCGCGAACGTTTTTCTTCTCCGTGACCTGGTTCCTCCAGGCCACGGGCTACTGGGGAGTGACCGTCTACCTGCCCGAGTACATGGCTCGCCTCGGGGCTGACCCGTACTTCAACATGTTCTCCGTGTTCATCGGCGAGATCCCTGGCCTGTTTCTCGCCATGTTGCTTGTGGAGAAGTATATGTTGGGCCGGATTCGCACGTTGAGGTTCTTCTCGGTCTTGACTGCCCTGTCTCTGTTGATATTTAGCTTTATTCCGGAGCACGAGTTTAAGTCGGTGCTCATCATAATTTGTTACTTCAGTATGGTGCCCATTTATTCCATCCTGAACACGTACACCCCGGAGGTGTACCCAACTGACCTCCGCAGCACAGCCATGGCCTGGATGAATATCGTTATCGAGGTCCCAGGGCTGGTCACTCCGTTTGTTGGGGCAACTCTCCTGTCCAGTTCTCTCCCCTGGCTGTATCCCGTGGTGTGGGGATCTGTGTTTGTGGTCCAGTGTCTTGTCACATTCGGACTCCGCACCGAGACTGCGGGCCGAGATCTGAGAGATTTTGAGTTTGGATCTCATAAGGTGAAAAATTCTGCTTCTAGCCAAAGTGTTGATTGTTAGCTCTATGGTCAGGGGTTACCTTCCTGGGAGGACTTTTCCAAGGTTGCTGATTACTGTATTCCTGATTTTTTTGCACACCACTTGAATTTCGCAATGTTTGCAATTTTAAAAGAAATTTGCAAATTCGAGTCATTTGCGAATGTTGAAAGGGGTGCTACTGCATTAGAACCCCATGACACTGGGCAACTCAAATCAAGAAGTCAAAGTGTTCAAGGAGAAACTGAATGGGCAAAAAGCTAAAAAAAAAATGCACAAAAAAACGAACTGACCTGGTGAACAATATTATAGTTGAAACTGACCAGAACCTGGAAATGTTAGTTAAAAAAGGGTTATTCAAAATCAGCCATTTTAGCTACACACAGTCCGCACTTCCGAAAGAGATAATACCTCTTGCCAGCCAGCTGTTCAGATGTGTGAAGTCCAAAATTTTGAAATTTAAAAAAATTGCAGTTTCATAAACTGTGGTGTAGGTTGTGTGTGCTTGAGAAATAATTTGTGGGAATTCAAATTCTAAATGTTGAAAAAAGCAAGAAAAGATTCTTGATGCGGGTACATTTGTTGAAAGAATGAAACAGTTTTTTCTCTCTCCTGAAAAATTTTACACGCTGACCTTAGAACAGTTGATCAGCTTGTTGGCAATATAGGCCATGCTACCCAAAGAGTTAATACCTCTTGTCCTTGTGCCATATATATCTTTTTATTTTGGCATTATGGCTTGTTGTAGTGCTGACCTAGATAAAACACAAGCTCTCCCTGCCCGTCTTTGAAGCCATAAGACCTCAACTTTTCATAGTCAGATGTGTGTCATAACATGAAGCTGGCTGGTGCCTGGAATGTAAATGTTTCGAGCATGGGATAAACGGCGGTTCTCGCTTTTAACGCTACGTGCAGGAGAAAGGTAATTACAGGGGGTGTTCCTGAAAGAATTCTTTACAGTAATTCAGCATTTTTATCCTGATTGAAAAAGAAGGCTACAGTTATGCTGGAATTTTTGTCCTGAAGTTGATAAGGCAGGATACAGTTATTCAGCGATTTTTTTCCTGAAGTTGTGAAAGAACGATGTGTCGTAAAAGTAAAGTAAAGCCCACCCTCCCCCCTATTTTGAACGTGCTTGAACTAGTGCACAGGTCTGGTGTCATGGTGGCATTGCAGCTTTGTCTTACTGGAACAGGAAATAGCTGGTTATGATCGTCATGAAGTGTTAAGGGATTTTATACTTTATTTTTACCAGATTTGTATGTTGTTGTTGTTGTTAATGTTGCTACGGTTGTGGAAAGCCATATCTCTCAGTTTGCCATGGTCTTAGGGCCTAGAGATGTCCCCTCAGTGTTGCTTTTGATGAGTGTTTTGATGTCTCTCAGGGAAACATACGTGGGTCCCATAGTGTGCTAATGTATTGTTTCAATTTTAACATTGGTAGAGTATCATACTATTCTTTGAAACTTTTAACAGAATGTGAGTCATATCATGAAAAGTTAGTGCTTAGATATTTGAAAGTACTTTGTAAAGGTTATGTATGCTTCATTTGTTTGATAAGTTCATGCTTTTAGTCTTTTTAACTGATTTCTGCCGTTTTTGACATTTGTAACATTTCTGCAGCTTCAGCAGTGTCTAGCAAAATTCTTTGAGAAAAAAAGTATTTAGTTGTTTTTTTGTGCCATTAAAATTTTTTTTTTTTCATTTTGCTTTGAGGGAGTGTGAAGGAATGGGTGGCTATTGACGGCTTTAGCTGCCTGTGACTTTGTTTTCTGACAGGTTTTGCATTCAATGTTAAAATGTTCCACCTTTTGCAAATTCCTGCTAAACAAATAAGTTTATTTTTACTCTGAGCCTGTAATTTGTCAAGGGGGTTACATTACATGTACTGAGTTTCTATACTCGGCTCGAGTTGTTTGGGGGGATGAGTGAGATACTGTAAGTTAAGTGAAGTGTACTATATGAGTATTTGCTATTGAAAACACTGTGCTGTGACATAGATTTCTCCTGTCACCAAAATGGCAACAAAGTTTTTGTCCTCCGTGAGCAAGATTCTGTACATTCTGTATGATTTCCGTAAATGCTAAGCTGCGTTCTTTCAGTAATTTAATGATTTATATTTTCGTCGGTAGTTTCTCCTTTCATTTTATAATCTATTGACTATTGGGGATGATTATAATGCTGGCAGATAGTACATTAGAATTGGCATATATTTATGTTTGCGTATATTTTAGACAATTGCTTGTCAATCTTTATTTAGCCAGTTTCCACTCTTGCTGCCTCTAAGAGGCTAAAACATTGTTACCACCCACCTACATGTATTTCCAAGCGGGGTATTTAACAATACCTGTCACTGCCCTGGAGTTCCCACCGCCCATCTAAATGACCAAAACATACCGCCCGGGGCGGTGCTACTGACTGAAGTGTCTTTAGGCCATTCCCAAAGGGGGGACATTAACATATTCTTATGCACAGTGGAATTGTAAAAGGGCTGATTCATCAATGTTATGCTCATAACTGCCTGAACTGCAACCGGGAACTGCTGCTTTTTCTTTCCCAATCCTTACTATCGTCATTTGTCCTCTACTTTTTTTGTATGTTTGTCACACTCATGTGACCTGCTATTTCCGGGGTGCCTGGATAGTCGAAGCAGACTTTGTGCTGTTGAAGCTAGAGAGGTGAGCAGAGTAAGCCTGATTCCTTGTATGGACTTCTCTGTTGACATCCACTCCTTGGCGCTCATATGACCTTATGCAGTTGTGAGGGCCGTAAAACCTGTACTAAAACGAAAATGACCAAACCACCCACAGGTGGGAGATATCGACAAGGTTGGCAAGCACTGCTGTAGACAAGTGAGAAAAGTGGGAGCGAAAAACTTTTTTAAATCTCAGTCTGGTGCCCAAACTTTGTATTGAGTCATTTTTAAACAGTTGATATGATCAAATTATTATTTACACACTTAACCTCGCAATGAATCTGGCATTTTTGTTTGTTTGTTTGTTGTGGAGATGTGTTGAAGTCAGTGTGCTTTATTGATGTGTTCACATTGTAGCCTATGTAGGCCTACCGTTTAGTCTTTTCTATGCCATAAGAGATTATTTTTATATGTATTGAGATCTACGAAGTTTTACACCAGAAGTGAAAAAGTTTTAGCAAAAAATGCTCACTTTTTTAATATCTTTTTAGAAAGAGATTTTGTACTGTTTTCTTTGATGTAGATATTTTTAGCTGATTTATTAAGAATTGTTTTTAAGTTGTACTTCGTGTGGTAGACATTGTTGTTTTCAAAGGTACCTTGTGTATGTTTTAGCTGAAAGTAATTTACTAAGATCTTGACATTTTATTTACAGTCTTTTTTATAAAGGTCTGTGTGAGCAGAATTAAGCTGGAAATGAGTGATTGATGCGGACCTTAAAGCTCCTTGGTATCAACAGTTGTTTGGTGGAGTTCAATTACCACGGACTGTTGAATACTAGCTGGGTACCCGCTCGATGAATGGACTCACAAAAATCGATCATCAAATCATGGTGGATTCAGTATGCTCTGCTTGTGAACAGAAGCCTCACTTGTTTACAATGGCGTCTTAGAAGACGGACTTTCCCAAGATTAAATCTAAACGAAACTAATGAACTGTAAATTAAACGACAGTGACTTCAGACTCCTTAATATAACTGTGCACCCTTTAAATGATTCTGAACCGCTGTTATTTTTTTCAAATTCGAAAGATAAGTGGTTCGAAAGTTTAAGACGACCAAAGTGACGGAACTTTCACAAATATGATATTTTTAGATAATGACTATCTCAGAAAAAGTGGTTAGAGTTTTACAGAAGCATTTATTATTTCTTGTATTAACATTTTTTTAAAGGAAAGTTTAACCACTTCAGTGCCATATTAATGTACCTAGACGTCATGGAATTGCAGTTTTTCTCTTCATGACCCACCAGAAAATGCAAAATGTATCGTATTCAAAGTGGTAAAAACTTTTTGGTGAGTTCAATACTCTTGAAGAGACATAAAGGCCTTGAACATCAAGGAATCCCAGTTGTCAGAAATGCAAATCTAAGAGATGAGCTAGAGATCTAGTTTTGTCTTTGACTTCAAAATGTTCCACCTGACCCATCACGGCCAAATAGGCTGCTTTCGCCTAGAATTACTCATTGTCATAAACAGAACTATACTGTCAGGACATCTCCATCACGACATCTAGATCTAGACAGACATTGAAAGCAGCAGGAGCCAGATACGACTGTACCGGTGGACGTACGCTTTATTACTGAAAATTCTCGTCTCTAAATTCTATGACGATTATATCTAAGACAACAATTACGTAACCACGAACGCGGCTTGGTTACGAGTTGCCAGTGGTTACCAGTTGCCAGGTTTCCTAATTACTAAGGCAATAGAGATGGTTTACCTAATGGTAATGGACATTACAAGAACATTCCTTTTTTTCTTTAAGTTCCTTTTAAATTTTTTGCTCAGTTGATTCATATACAGAGTCTTCCATACTCGGATACAAATACTTTGACGTGTGTCCAATGTCCAGTCCAATAGTTGTAAGTGCATGGAGCATGCTGTAGAGTGTGGATATGTGCTACATAAAGGCATTATTGTTAGTATTATTATTATTATATAAAATTATTACTTGACTATAATTTATATTATTATTGTAATTTATAGGTTTATTATTATTACTATTATTATTATGTTATTATTGTTATTATTATTGTTGTTGTTTTTATTTTTTCCCTTCTTTTTATTATCGAGTGACTCGCCTCATTTTGTATTTAATGATTATACATGTATTGCTGTCTGCTGCTGGGGCTAGATAACAGAACTTGTCTCATATTCTTCCATCCTGGAAATTTTTTGGCAATTTATGTCCGTGTACACCTTTATGAATGTGGGTATGTGTGTGTGTGTGTGTGTGCACGTGCGTGTATGTGTGTGCACGTGTGTGGGTGGTTTAAAAAATATATATAACAGATCACTGCAGTGAAACTTTGGACATAATCACATGTTGCTGTTTTTTTAGCAATACATTTGTGCTTCACATCTTTTCTTTTCTTTCCTCTCACTGAATCTCATGTTATAAACCAGCCATAGTCTCAGATATTCTGAGCCGTAACAGCAGGAATATGTGGAAAGTCACAATGTTTTCTCTTGGGAGACAGGACGTTCCTTTTTGAGTTCTCAAATTGGAGAAAGTGTGACTATTTCTCTTCTTTCTATGAAGTCCTCATACATACTTATATGATATGTGTGTGTGTTTGTCTTTAGTAAGACATTGTTTTTTTAACTCATGTGTGAAGTTGATACCATTTTTGTGTATATGTTTGGCTGTGTGGTATTGCCGAAGAGGCAGAAACAACAATGAAGTTGTCAGGGTTTTCTTCTTCTGTTGACTCTTTCTTTCTTTGCATCAACAAATTTGTCATAAGCACAACGAAGAATTGTTAATTTTCAAGCTTTATATCTTGAATTTTCACTATGTCTGTAGTCATTGTCACAAAGTACTGCTTTCTATTTCAATACTGTTGACAAATTCCAAAAGAGGCCGTTGCCACCGACTGTTGAAAGTGAAAGTGAACTCATTGCAATTAGTAAAAGTATCTAATTAGTGACATATATATATCCTCAGAGAGGAATGCACCGTCAAACTTTTTTGCTTCGGCTAATATCTACTTTTGTCTCTTTTTGCCATCTTCTTGTCAGTTTTTTGAGACCCCAGTTTGGGTTTTCTTCCAAATGGCCTGTGAGTGTGTAGTGGGCTTTAAGAGATCAGCTCTTATTACCATGAATAGTGGTACCATGCAGCTTCAGCTTCTTGAAATATGTGTTCATTGTTCTAACGTCGTGCTCTTCCAATTTAAATATGGTTCTTTGCTCATAAAAAAAGACAGTATGTCTGGTTTCCGATACCGTAGTCATGTTTTGTGCTTGTGTGTGTCACGACTGACTCAGGAAATTCACCTCCCCTTGTATGTTTGTACAATATACCGTACATGAAACGCACGTCTGAAGATTTCCAGTGATTGTCACACCTCTGGTTGTAAATGTCAAACACATTTCCAACAACTGTCAGACTGTGTTGTGTATTCCTTAAATTTAGATTTTTATTTTTGTTATCATCTGATATTTTAGGTTGTCACACTTCTGATTGTAAATGTCTTTAGGGTTTTTTTGAGGGGTAGTAAAAGTGTCATCATGAATGTCTCATTAATTTCCAATAATTGTCACTCCTCTGAAAGTGAGTGTATTTAGGTTTTTAGTGTATGTAAAAATGCCATAGTAAATGTTTCATTTAATGAAATTTCCAATGCTTGTCACAGTGTGTGCCATAGAATAGATTGAGATTTCTTGTTGTTGTCAAATGTTTTAGATCTCGTGATAAGTGTCTCGGAGAATTTCAATTTTTTAAAAAGAATGCTTACAGTATTTCCAATTGTTGTCAGATTTCAAATCACACATAATTCTCAGTACTTGTCTGGCTTCCCCATTGATAAATGTTGTGAAAGTTATCTAGATGTGAAGTGCGATATAATTAATACATGTGCTTTGTTTGTGCTCTTTTGTGTTTGGGCATTCCTATGATGCTAGTTTGTTTGGCAGATTTTTAAAAAAGAGCTAGAAAGTGATGGAGGATGTTTATGCGTTAG